CTGAATAGTTTTTAAAAGTCTCCTTCTGTGTGGCTCATGCCACAAACACTTCTGACTGACCCCACTGGGTCATCGAGCTCTTCTTGACACTTCCTATGTCCCTCCTCCCCTCCCTGCCAAACTTCACTTGGGAACCACCTTGCAACTTGGTTTCTCTCCGACTAATGAAATTTTATTCTTATAGATCGATCGCTAGACACGGGGAGCATTAGCAAAGTCAACAAGGCAGGGAAGGCATAGGATGTATAACAGGTTACAGGGAATTTAAGTTTTGTTGAAGCTTTCAGTACATGGTAGGGAGTAGGGCACCTTTGTCCCTTGAGGACAGGGACTGAATTTTGATTGGTTTGTATTTATATTCCCAGTGCCTTACCCAGTGCCTGACACATAATAAGTACTTAATAAATGCTTATGACTTAAGGTCACACAAACAGCATCAGAGACAGGTTTGAACTCTAAAGCAGTCTCCCATCTGAAATGGAACTGTGGAGATATGGGAGTATAACTTTTATTTATTTAACAAGTCTTGATTAAGCCCTACTACGTGCCCAGCACTATGTGGGGTACCATGAAGAATTAAAAAAAAAAAGTTAGATACAGCCCCTATCCTGGAGTTAAATTCTAAAGAGGGAAGCCAATACAGGAAAGGAAACTGGAAAGGGGATGTGGGGGTGGAGAAAGAGGTCAAGGGAAGTCTAGAGAGGAATAAAGACATGAAGATACTTGCCTGGGCAGTTTCCACAAAGTGGCAGTGCCAGGAGGAACTAACCAATTATAGGAAGGGGTCATAAGAACAGAGAGATCTTCTGAGATATCATGAAGAAAGAAGTGAGGCTCAAAGCCCAGAGGGGAATGAAAGAGTAAAAGGCATGTCACCTAAACCCACTGGGCCTCAATTTTCTCACCTGTAAAATAAGCAACTTGCACTAGATGGTCTCTGAGGTCCCTTCCAATTATGGGTCTATGACCCCATGAGAGAAGAAAAAGACATGTAGACAAAGACAGAAAATAAAGAATAACAAGAGTGCAAGTAACGATAATAGCTCATATTTATACAGTGTTTCAAAGGTTTATAAAGGAGTAGGTAGGTAGCACAGCGGATAGAGCACCGGCCCTGGATACAGGAGGACCCGAGTTCAAATCTGGCCTCAGACACTTGATACTAGACTGTGTGACCCTAGGCAAGTCATTTAACCCCAATTGCCTCACACACAAAAAAAGTTTACAAAACATTTTCCCCATAATAATAGCTAGCATTTAAATAGCAATGTAAAGTCTACAAAATGCTTTACATATGTTGCCTTATTTGATATAACCATCATGTAAGGTAGGTGCTATCACTATCCTCTTTTTACAGATAAGTAAACTGAGGCTAAAGGAGATTGAACAGTCACACGGATAGTGTCTGAGGGAGACAGATTTTCCTGAGTAAGGGAGTAGATAAAAGTAAATTCCTCTATCCATCCACTATGCCACTTACCTCCTATGAGAGAGCTCATGCAGATATTATTATTCCCATCATACAGCTATAGCTCTAAGAGGCCATGGTTCCATGGTTCCACAACTAACTGTTAAATGTCAGTGGTAGCTTCCCTGATCTCAGGTGGAACACTCTTTCCTCTAAGCCACATAACCTCTCAGGCAAATGGTACCAAGCTGAAATGGTACTGATAGTGATGTTTCAATTCTTCAGATGTCTATTGAAAACACTCTCTTAGTTTCTCTTTCTCATGCACAAGGTACTAGGTACATGGAGCCAGGCTCTTAATATAAGGGAGAAACTGCATTTAAGAGAATTTTTTATTTTAAAGAAACTAAGGCCATCTGAAAGAACAAAACAGTTGCATTAGAAATCCACAAGCAATTCAACTCTCCATCCACACCCCATTCTGACCCGTGGTTGGTTATCCTTCATAGTCAGAGGATGGAAATGATATCACTATGTCGGAGTCAAGGTACAGTGTGTCCGACTGTGGCTGATCAGACCAATACAAGCTCAGAACACTCTACCACAGGTCAGGCACAAATAGTTTACATGAACATTTGTAGTGGAGATGTCTCTAAATTTGCACATCTCATATTTCTTTTGAGCTACTGCAATTCTGCTTTGCTCAAAGAGTACAGTGCCTTCTCTGATGAGGGCACACCATGCTGGATGGTCCTGTGCCAGTGTCTCCCATGTCACGCAATTGATTCCAAAGCTCTTCAAAGCCTATGTGTCCTTGAATCACTTCTTCTGACAACCATGTGAGTGCCTGCCTTGCATGAGTTATTCCTAAAATAGTCTTTTAGGCAAAAGTATGTTTGGCATTTGAACAACGTGGGCAGCCTATCAGAGTTGTGCTCTCTGCAGTAGAGTCTGAATGCTTGGCAGTTTAGCTTGACAAAGGACCTCAGTGTCCAGTACCTTATCCTGCCAGGTGATTTTCAGAATTTTCCTAAGACAATTCATACGGAAGCGATTCAGTTTCCTGGCCTGGTGCTGGTATACTGTCCAGGTTTCACAGGCATACAACCATGAGGTCAGCACAAGGGCTCTGTGGACCTTCAGTCTGGTATCCTGGCATCCAATCCTCATCTCCTACACTTTCCATCGGAGCCTCCCAAACACAGAGCTAGCTGGCAATGCATGCATCAACCTCATCATCTATGTGTACATCCCTGGAAAGTACACTGCCAAGGTAAGTGAACTAATCCACAGTATTCAAAATTTCTCCATTTGCTGTAATTGATGGTTCCATATATGGATGGTGTGACACTGGCTGGTGGAGAACCTATTCTCTTGGTGTTGTTAGGCCAAAATTAGCACAAGCAGCAAAGAATTGATCTGATCCTTACCTTTTAAGCTAAAAGGGTTCTTGCCTTAAGAAGACAGCAAAATGCTGTGGGAAGATCATAGGTTCTAGATGGGGAAAGATCCTCAGAGCAATATAGAAGAGTCACTTTAATCTGTTTTTATGTAAGAGCTATGTTGGTTGATTAACTTGTCTGAATTGAATCAAATCAATGAAAGGTCTTCCAACTAAGAGTGAAAAGGCCTTGAACAATTAGATTTCTCTTACTAGCCACTGAATGAACAAAAGCAGTGTTGGATGGGAAGAGTGATTAGTTTAGGAAACTCGTCTTCTAGAACATATCATCCCAAGGTACAACAGAGATTCTGATTCTTGTGAGCAGCAAACAGAGAGAGAACACTCCACCTACTCCATGGAGGAGTCTCTTGGGGGAGGGAGTCGAGGAGGCAGAGCATTTAAACCTTGGGCTTGGTTCCTTCCTCCTGTGGATGGGTGGAAGGAGGATGATCTGGGGACCTAACTCATCAGTGTGAGAGTGAGCCAAATAGAGATGAGGAAACTGAGGGCAAGAAAAGTTAACTCATTTGCCCAAGGTCAAATGGGCAACAAATAATCAAATTAGGTTTTGAACTAGGTCCTTTAACTACAAAACTACTACCCTTTAGACTGAATCAGAAGACTAAAGCACTAATCTCAGATCTGTCACTATATCAAGCTATTTGTCAACAGAAAATCACTTCAGTTCTCTGGGCCTGTTTCCTGTATAAAATGAGGGAAGATTGAATTAGCTGTGGTCCTCTCCAGATCTAAAATGCTATGACTTATTAAATTTACTCACTTTAACTTCCTGGCTCTACACTGGTCAGACCATGAACTTTGCATTTTACAATTGAGGAAACTGAGGCAGAGGTAAAGTGACGGGTCCAAGGTCACATATCTAGTAATTGCCTGAGGCCAGATTTGAACTCAGGTCTTCATGATTTCAGGTTCAGCACTCTAACCACTGCCATCACTTAGCCTCCAGGTATTTAGCTTTTAGAAATTGCAAGGATGGTTGTTTCAGAAACATCCCCCAAAAAAACTGGAGTTGCATTCTCCTCTTAAGTACATAAGGTCTCTGGGGAGAATGAGTTTAAATATGAAGAACACATCTGGTCAAAGGGTAAATTCACAGGTCCTGGTTACTGAAAATCCTTTTCTTTCATGGAGTCCTCACGAAGTTCCCTTTAGGAGTGAGCTGTCTGCCTAGCTCTGAGGGTCAGTGCCTTGTACAGAGTTCTGAAGCTACCTTTGCTCACTGGGTCTAACTTGTGCTCATTGTATATCTTAGCACCCATTGTAGACACTGCTGTAAGTCACTGCTGTTCTGGGGACTGTGCTCCCAGTGCCACTGGGAATTCTTTTATCTTCCAACCTTTCAAAGTTGACAGGTTCGTCATCTGGTCACAGGAGAAGGCAGGGCAGGTTTGGGAAATGGGAATAGGATGTAATCGGCCTGGATAAATAAATCGGAGCCAGGCTGGAAAGGACTTTAAATGCCACATAGAGGAGTTAGTATTTGATGCTAGAAGCAATAGGAAGCTACTAGTGTTTACTGAGGATGAGTAACAAGGTCAAGTCTTTGGCAGGCAACTTAAAATTGCTACTATTCTGTATACCTGTGTAGTTTTAATTGTTTTAAGAGGGAGATGGGAGAAAATCATTGAAAAGTCCTAATGATTTTTTTTTTAAAGCATCAATAAAACAACAAAAAAGAGAGGAAATTTGGTATTAATTAGATAGACTGAGCCAAGAACTTCTGCAGCAAGTTTATTTTACATTATTTACAAAAATCTCCAGTTAATTATCAAATTATTGAGTTTTGCAATGAAAATTATCCCTGACAACAGTATAGGGATTGGGGGAACAATTACCCATTCATGATAATAGTGATAATCTTTCCATTTTTGGAGAAATTTTATGACAATTCTCTTGTTACCTACACTGACACACACACACTGGAGCAACCTGTACTTCATCATCAAGATTCTACCTCACAAAAAGATCCTGGTTTTTAATATATTCAGCCAAATAAAGTGCTTATGAGTACTTAAAAAAAAAAAGAACAATCCAGGGATAACATATATACTTATATTTAGCTTAAAAGAGAAACATTTTTTTATTTACACAATTTCTTCCATAAAATGGAAATAAATTATTATGTAAGCATATTTGTTTTATGTGAATTCTTTTTCTTTTCACATACTTTATGAGTCTCTCCTAAGTTGTTTGCTCCAATATATCTTATTTCAGTCTACCGTTTTTAATGATGTCTGGTAACATCTGCACATCAAAGGCATAGTGGATATAATGATAGATCTCCTCAGCTTTCTGATGACTTACTTGTGCATTCAGAGAGATTTCTTCAAGAGAGCTGAAAAATAAATTATACAAAAAAGCAATGTTTACAAAAGAACTTTTTTGGGGACAGCATTTAATATGCTTACTTCTCCTACAAAAAATAATAAAACCACAAAAGCCTCTAAAGAAATTACATGTTCTAAAATATTTATTTGTAAATTATATACATGTAGTACTGTACTAATTTTTTTACTTATAAAACATGCACATAAAGAAATTTTAAATGATGAGATACAAATGAAACAAGCAATGTTTTAAAAATAAGTACTAATTATTTTTAGTGAGGACAATATGATTGAATATATATCATTTTAAAAAGAATCTTGATTTAACATTTTGTGATAAAGAGATTCAAAGGTATGGCTTTAGTTCAGTTCAGCTTATTTTAAGACTTGCTTTTAATGGCTATCACAGCTAAAAAAGCTCACAAAACTAAGTACCAAATGGAGTGTTTCCTTGACTGCATTTACAAAATTATGATATTTATTTTGAAATATGATCCAAATAATTCAAAGGTTTTTTTGCTGAAATTTAGCTAGTCTATTTCCATCTTCTCTGACAATGCATTAGATGTTGCATTTTTACATTTTTAGCAAATAGATTCAAAACACACTTAATCCTTTTGCTGAAGTTTTTTAAAACAGGTTAGAAAATTCTGTTTTCATGTTTTAAATTGAAGATATGAAAATACTTATAAATATTAGGTAGACAGACCAAAAAAAAGTTTAGTTTTTAATTGTCTTGTTAGTCATGAAGCCTTCATACTATCATTAGCTGGTACCTCAAAACATAATATATATTTGGAACAAAGTTCATCATTAACAAAAATAAATGTAAATATACATTTTGAGTAACATTCTTGATCATTTTGAACACTTTTGGCCAACTTCTTGTCAGATTTCATGATAACATTATTGTTTTTAACCTCACAATGTGCCTGAAAAAGAGTAAAAGTGTCAGCTCTGCCATTTTCTTACTGTTCTCTTATATGGGGGGGGGGGGAACCTGAGGCCTCAAGGTCACATGTGGCCCTCTAGGTCCTCAAGTGCGGCCCTTTGACTAAATCCAAACTCCACAGAACACATCTCCTTAATAAAAGGATTTGTTCTGTAAAACTGGGAACTCAGTCAAAAGGCCACACCCAAGGAGCAAGAGGGCCACATGTGGCCTTGAGGCTGCAGGTTCCCCACCCCTGTCTTAAACTAATTTTAACAGTATTATCTTTAAAATTCATGGATTCTATGAAGGAAACTTTTTAAGCCAGTTGTCCATTTAATGAAGGGTTAATTTAATTAAAACCAGGTAATTTATATACTCACTTAATCAGGAACACATAAACTACAATATGTCACAACAAGCTGAAAGTTAATAGCTAGTGAAAGAGTGATTCTCAAATCCCCAAGTTTGTAAAACTCCTCACTCAGGATACCTTGTATACTATATGTGACACATATCATCTGACATATGGATGCCAATGCGAACTCACAGAGTAAATATTCTGGATTTTTTAGCTGGACCAGTGATTTCAATGACATAAAACTATCAATAGATTGGCACCTGCTATGCAACTTATAGTCTTAGAAAGTGCTGAGGATTAAGAGGTTAAGTGACTTGCTCTGGCTCACAAAGTCAGGAAAGTATCGCCAGAGGCAACACTTGAACCCAAGTCTTTCTGACTGCAAGGTCAATTCTCTATTCACTTCACCATGCTGCTGCTTATGTACTAAATGATATTAAAAATTAATATACTTTTTATTGTTTTACATAAAAATATTAGTTGCAATATTTTCCTGCCCCCCCATAAATCATCCTGTGCACCCCAATTTGGAGGACACCATAAACATTTTACATCATCTGATGAGTTAAGAAAAAATAGGGAGTGTGTCTCTCCATTTCCCCTTTAAATGAAATCATATCTAAGCAAATTCATTTCAGCATTTTAAATGGTCTGTTTTAAATTAATCAGGCTCTGCCCCTTTCTCATTCTGTGAAGGTGACAACAGCAATATCCACATGTGATTAGTGAGTTTAGGAGGTAAAGCTATCTAGCCCCCAAAAAACAGTATCAATTTAAATGTCCTTCTGACACCTATGTAATCGGCATGCTCATAGAAGCAGAGTAATTTCTTCACCTCAGACTGATACCTCTAGTAAGGCATCAGTCTCTCTTTGTTACCATGAAAAATTACTGGGCCAAACCATCTTGCATGTCTAGCCATTGAATCAGTCTACCATTCTAGGTCTGGCTGATTTCCTGGATTAAGGTTATGTGTGGCTTTATTTCCAAGAACAAAAACAAGTCTGAAAGCCAAGGGGGTGGCAGTGAGATAGACTCTTAGGTCTCTCTTTTTATCAGTGAGGAAACTCACTCAACAATACAAATACTTGTTCTGCATCTTATAGTCTTGAAGTTACCTTAAGTCCTAAGACATTGTCTTGCCCAGGATCAACAGTCAGGACGTGAATCTAGTTCCCCCTGATTCCAAGGCCACCTATCTAACCAATAATATGGCAAGTTGCTCCATGTCTCCTTAGGTCTTGTGTATGTGGCCCCGGCAGACTAGGTGCTATTAATAATCCAATATTCAGAATACAGATGAGTGGCTGTATATATCCCTGTTCCCTGTAATCCCAGAATGAATTGCCAGATTGATTAATCAAAGTTATGATTTGAGAGCTTTACTGTTTTTCTAGTAAAAAGATAAAAAAATTAATATTACCTCTAGTTTCTATTGTATGGATTTCTACTGTATCGATTCTACAATATAACTGATTTTATGCTGTATTGATATTTGTGAATGAGTCTGTATCTGCCTAAAGCCACCTTTCTACGTCCTTGAGTTGAGCTAAGGAATTTATCTTTCCCTCTGAGTTAGTTTATAGTTATAATTAATGGAGAAAACTATTAACTACTATTTGGTAGAAAACAGTTAACCACCTTCAACTTTTGGGAAAATACCAAGACATTTGGTGTTATCTTTAAGTCCTAAAGCTAGCTCTAAGAGATAACTGTCCCTGCACTGTCCTTGCACCATTAAAGAAAATCTTACCTCCCTAACAAACCCTTTTTTTTGGTGCCAGGGAGTCTGTTAACTCAAGTCCACTAACAAGGTCTACAATATGTGGATGGATCCCATAAATCAGTTAAACATTCCTCTGTGACAGAGAGGAGTAGTTACTAGCTCCAGAGGGTCCTAGCCTGGTCTTCTTGAAGTAATCAATCATGTTATCCTTACCCCCTTGACACTGCCACCCCTGTAACCGACTGCATTGTTTTTCCCACCTAACTCTGTTCTTTGTTCTCCTGTACTTCCCCAAACTATATGAAGGCTACTAAGCCCCACCTCAAACATATAATAACTGTGTGACCCTGGGCAAGTCACTTAATCCTGTTTGCCTCAGTTCCTTATCTGTAAAATGAGCTAGAAAAGGAAAAGCCCTACTTTGTGGTTTTTGGCAATTGAGAAAGAGGCCACTGACCCAAAATATTGGTAACTGCTAGCCTAATAAACTGATCATGCTCAGACCACTGTCTCTCAGTTTACCTTAATTTTCAAACTTAATATTGGCAAGTACTAACAATTTAGAATCATGGAAATTTTGAGCTGAAAGGAAGCTTGATCATCACCTAATCCAACCCCTTTACTTTTACAAAATGATACAACAGAGAAGTAAACTAGTTGAGTGATCTCAAACACAGTAGTAGTATTGCTAGAATTAAAATTGAAAGAAATCTTCCCATTCCTGGTCTAGTGTTCTTTCTACAAAATCATAGTGACTGACAAACAATTTCATATGCCATAATTTCTGTGTTGGGAAGTAATAGGAATATTACAGTGCAAAGTAAGAGGTATTTGAAATTTTACTCGACTAATAATTTCTTAGAGAACGCTTTAAATAATCACTGAAGAATAAAAAGTCAAAGTAAGATAGCACACATACCTGTTAGTCATCTTTTTCACAGATGAAAAATGGTGACACATATTTAGAGCCGTTACATAGCTTATATTGGGAATACTTAGATAGAACTGGAACATGTCACGTTTATTATCTTTCACAGCTATTGGAACATGAATACCAGCATTCTTTCTCTGTTCTACTAAAGTCAATTCCTTAATCAATTCTGCAGTTTCTTTCTGGCAGGAGCTAAAAAGAATTCGAATTCCAGCACCAATTAAGGCAGACAAAAGGCTATCATAGCTTTTCGTCCTTTGAAATACTTTCAAAGCAGCTCCTAATTAAAAAAAAATTAAATATTAAAACATTAGTAACAAAAGAAAAGAACAATACAGTATTAATATGACTAAAATTATTAATAGAACACTAATTTATGTCTCAGTATTGAAAGTAGACTACTGTGAGAACCACTGGAAGTTTTAGAGAAATTCCACTTCTGATTTAAAGAGAACAAAAAAAGGAAGAGGTAGTGAGATAGTCATGATTCTGAATTCAACAAAACCTGAAAAAAGGCAAGAAATTGATAAGAATTTGAACTGAGGGACGATGCCAATATGGTAGAGCAAAGGCAGGGACTCGCCTGAGCTCTCCAGAATTCCTCTCCAAACAACTTTAAAATAATGCCTCAAAACAAACTCTGGAGTGGCAAAACCAACAAAATGTCGGGGTAAGACTATTTTCCAGCCCAAGAAAACTTAGAAGGTCAGCAGCAGGAAAGTCTGTCTCACTGGAGTTAGAGTGGAGTGCAGTGCAGGTCACACCTGACAAGTGAGCAGCTGGCATGGGGGTATGTATGTCAGCTGCTGCTTTGCTCTCAGCCCAAAGATGGTAAGGGGGTCAGACAACTGATCAGAAGGAGATTACAGGGGACCTTTTTCTGGCACTGAGTGCAGGACTCTTTTGTATTGGCCATACATGGTTCTGGAGTGCAGTTCTAGGGAAAAAAAGGAGCAGTAGCAGGGAGCAGGGACCTTGCTCACATTTCCAGGGTCGAAAAGAGTGATTGTGGTCACTCACAAACCAGAGCATAGGTCAGGAGAACAGTAACCACCACACTCTCCTTAGATCATATCACCTTAGAAGAACTGAAAACTTACAAATCTCCAGGACTAGTTCTGAAAACAGGAGCACAAAAAACCCTGAAAATTAAGACAATACTTCCACCCCAGGAGCAGAATCCAACTTTAATATAAAGTTAAAAGTCAAGAAATAGGCTGGGAAAATAAGAACCTGACCATAGAAAATTACTATAGTAACAGAGAAGATCAAGACACAAACCTACAAGAAGAAAACTAAATCAAAACATTTATATGCAAATTCTCAAAGAAAAATGTGAACTGGTCAAAGGTCCAAAAAGAATTCCTGGAAGAGCTCAAAAGGGCTTTTAAAAATCAAATAAGAGAAGAAGGATAAAAATTAGAAAAAGAAGCAGAACTAGTCAAATGGAAAAAGAGGTACAAAAAGTACACCTAAGAACTCTTTAAAAAGTAAAATTGGCCAATTAGAAAAGGGTAAAAAAGCTCAATGAAGAAAATAATTCCTTGAAATTGGAATTGGGAAAATGGAAACTAATGACTCCATGAGACATCAAAAAACAATAAAACAAAATCAAAAGAATGAAAAAACCATGAAATTATCAAGGAAAACTGTTCTGATATCTTAGAACTGGAAGGTAAAATAGAAACTGAAAAAACCTACTGATCACCTCCTGAAAGAATCCCAAAATGAAAACTCCCAGGAATATTATAGCTGTATTCTAGAGCTCTCAGGTCAAAGAGAAAATATTGCAAGCAGCCAGAAACAATTCAAGTATCATGACCTCACAATCAGGATAACACAGTGGCATACAGGTGATAGACTAGAGAGAGGTATAAAATGAGGCATAGCTATTTAGACACCATAAATGTGTGCCATTTATTTTGTTTGTCTGTACTTGTTATGAGAGGTTTTATTTGTAACACCAAAAAAAAGGTATTAATAAAACATTTAAATGTTTTTTGTTTTTGGCATGGAAATGATATTTGTCACGCTCATAACAAAAATTTTTAAAAATAAAAATAAGTAAATCCTATGACTCTTCCCTCCCTCTAAATGAGTTTAAGAGTATCAGGAAGACTGATTGAGGTTGGCAGAGACCCAGCGAACGCACCAAGTCAGAGAAAAAAAGCAAGGAACTTTTAAATTCTTGTTTCTTCATTAATTCCTCTAGACAATTTTTTCACCAGGCATTTTCTATCCCAATGAAATAAAAGGTCCAGAACAAAACAAATGAAAAGCCTCAAACCCATGCCTCTATTTTACTAGATGAGGGGTTAATATTGGTCCCTCAGCCCCAGGACAAAAAAAGTGATCAAGGGATAAAGTTAAGTGAAAAAAAAAATTTCTTGGAGGACAAGTAATTGTATTATTTAATTCTTCTTGTCAGGGAAGGAAGACAAAGGGAAGTAGAGCTAAAACTTGTTTTGGTCGAGTTAGATGATCTAAAGAAGAGATTCGCAGAAGGGAAGGTACTGGGCAAATGCAGATGTAGGTCTTACCTATACCAAAATATTCAAAACACCTCTTTTTGTGGCAGTAAGGATTTGTAAGTAAAGTAGATGCCTAGGGGAATAACTAAACAAACTTTGACACATAAAAATAACAGATTACTCTGCTATAAGAAACAACATGAAAAGTATAGAACTATACTACAAGAATTCCATGAACTGATACAGAATAAAGTATGCAGAACCAGGAAAAGAATATAAATACAATGATTACAATGTAAACGAAACTAACAATAAAACAAAACTAAATGCTTCCTATAGTGACCAAGAGAAGAAAAGAAAAGAAATGCATTTCCCTCCCCATGTTGCAGTGGTAGGGAATTATGGAAGTGGAATACGACATACACTGTCTGATATGAATGATTTGTTCATTCATTTTTTTCTTTTTTAATCTTTGTTACATAGGACAACCTGATGGAGTAGGGAGGAATATATTCAGAAATGTTCATGTGATAACAATAAAAGGCTTCAATAAAAATAAAATTATTCCCCTTCCAAAAACAAAAAAAGGGGAAAAGACTTTCCCACCTGTCAAGCTTGCAGATATCCTGGGCACATGTCTGTATGGTAGCTAGAAAGGAGAATTGTAAGGAAGATCTAAAAGTTCTGAACATCTTCAGACTTGAGGTCAAATCATTGAAACTTTTGTTAGCAATTTAGCAATTTTGGTTCATTTGTTCCTACCCAGAAAACTGAAAACTTGGGAAATTAATTAGGATTCACCATGCTAAGAGATTCTGGCAATTAGGTGGTACAATGGTGGAATTAAATCAGGAAGATCTGAGTTCAAAATCTCAGATACTTACTAGCTGCATGACCCTGGGCAATCTATTCTGTTTGCCTCAATTTCTTCATCTCAATCTTCTCGATCTCAATCATCTCAATCAATCTTCATCCAGGGTTATTGAAGATACAATGAGGTAATATTTGTAAATCATGTATACTTTTAAAAAATTATATTCTATGTTTTCCTCAATTACATGTAAAAACAATTTTTAACATTTTTTAAAAGTTCTGATTTCCCAATTCTATCCCTCCCTCCCCGAGACAGTAAGCAATCTGATATAGGTTATACATGTGCAATCATGTAAAACGTATTTCCATATTAGTCATCTTGTGGAAGAAAACAAAGGAAGAAAGGAAGGAAGGAAGGGTATGCTTCAGTCTATATTCAAATGCCCAGATCTTTCTCTGGAAGTGGTTAGCATTTTTCATCATGAGTCCTTTGGGATTGTCTTGGATAACTGTATTGCTGAAAATAGCTTAAGTCATTCACAGCTGATCATCGTACAATATTACTGTTACTGTGTACAATGTTCTCCTGCTTCTGTTCACTTCACTTTGCATCAGTTTATATAAGTCTTTCCAGGTTTTGATGAAATCATCCTGCTCATCATTTCTTTTTCTTTTTTTTTTAAAGGCAATTGGGGTTAAGTGACTTGCCCAGGATCACACAGCTAGTAAGTATCAAGTGTTTGGTCTGAAGCTGGATTTGAACACTGGACTTCCTGACTTCAGGGCCGGTGATCTATCCACTGCGCCACCTAGCTGCCCCGTTCATCATTTCTTATACCACAATAATATTCCATCACAACTTGTTCAGTCATTCCCCAATTGATGGTCACACCTCAATTTCCAATTCTTTGCAACCACAAAAAGAGCTGCTACAAATATTTTTGTACAAATAGGTCCTTTCTCCTCTTTTTAATCTCTTTGGGATACAGACCTAGTAGTAAGTAGTGATACTGTTGGGTCAAAGGGTATGCACAGTTGTATTGCCCTTTAGACATATTTCCAAATTGCTCTCCAGAATGGCTGGATCAGTTCACAACTCCACAAACAGCGCATTAATGTCCCAGATTTCCCACATTCTCTCCAATATTTATTATTTTCCTTTTCTGTCATATCAGTCAATCAGATAAGCATGAGGCAGTACCTCAGAGATGTTTTAATTTGCATTTTTCTAATCAATTAAATCATATAAACCTTAAAGGACTAAATAAATGATAGCTGTCATTAAATAGCATTGAAATAATGAAATTTAGTAGAAACATAAATTAATATTAATGCAATGAAAATAACAACCACGGTCCTGAAAAAGTACAGCGTCCTTCCATTCTCAGCCTAACTATACCATCACATGCGCAAACACCCTCTCCACATCTCTAACACATAGGAGAAGGAATAAAGTGGGAGTTGTGAGGAGCCACTAGCTGCAATGTATAGAGTTAATTTACAAGTCTGAGAACTTGATATACATATATTCACACATACAAACACACACAAAATGTGTGTGTGTGTGTGTGTGTGTGTGTGTGTGTGTGTGTGTGTGTATGTATATACGAGGGCAGGGAGGCAATTGGGTTAAGTGACTTGTCCAGGGTCATACAGCTATTAAGCGTCTGAGGCCAGATTTAAACTCAGATCCTCCTGACTCCAAGACCTGTACTGTACCCAGTGCACCATCTAGGGGCCTCTGGCTATATTCTGAAGGCAAAGGAATGGTTTTGCCTTTTTTTTTTTTTAACATAAACATGGAAAAACATCATTTAAATACAAACCTGTTTTCTCTCTGTCTTTTTCCACAATCACACATATTCTTTCAAACATATTCTGTAAATACTGAATCTTTTCAACAAGCTTACATCTATTCATATTGTTCATCATCTCTGATTGAGATTTTCTTTCCACTGCCATTCGGTTGCTAACGATGTAATCACAGCCATCGAGTGGGCAGACTTCTACTTCTAATCCATGAATGGTTCTCAAAGAGGAAATGACTTCTGAACCAGAGGAGATTTCCCGGCTATCCACAAGAATACAGGTTCTTTGCCTTTTCTCTGTTAGTCTAAGTGAAGTAGGTGTCAGAGCCAAATTTTCAGTTGAACTGGAACCACATAACACTACAGGTTTTGAATTAACATCCTCCAGATCACTATTAAGCTGAGGGGAAAAAAAAGAAAACATGCATAAAGAACATTCAGGTAGAAAAATCCACAATTATCTTCCTATATATACATATATAAACTTTTTAAAGCTATCAATTAAAATGAAAAATGACATGAAGGTAGTATAGAGAATAGCTACAAAGATAGGAACTCATAAAATAAAAGCAATTTAGGATTATGCCTAGAAAGATACAAATTGTGTCACACAAATGTAATGGAATATTATTGTTCCATAAGAAATTATAAGATGGCCAATTTCAGAAGAAACTGGAAGACTTTTATGAATTACAGAGAAAAGCGAGCAAAACTAAGAGAACAATTTCTAAAATGATAACATTACAGAGAAAACAGAAGACTTTAGAAATCTGACCATGAGACCTTCAAAATGAAGATTAAACACGACTCATCTCCCTGTAGGGAGGTGGTAAACTTAAAAATAAAGGAGAGTTTTTTTTTATTTTTTATCTTAAAAATTTTTTAGTATACTTCATGTTCTCTTTTAGCTGCAATCACTTGTTTTTACATGATTTGGTATTAAGTTAGAAAGATTTTAATATACAATTTTTAATTCATCATGAAACTACACTTTCATTATATTGGCTATTAAGCATATATTCAGTAAATAGTCTTTTTTTTTTTAAAGTTTAGCCTTGAACATATTTCATAGTATTTCAGGCACGGGTGACATATCTTGTCAAATGCTTTGTCTGAAATCTGTTGATATAGTCATACAGTTTTTGTTGTTTTTGTCATTAATAGGTAAATGAAAAATTAATGGTTAATAATACATTGATAGTTTTCCTAATTGGATTCCTAATGTAAATCTAATCTGGTTATCATGTATAATCTTTGTTATACATGGCTGTGGTCTCCTTACTAATATTTTATCTAACTTTTTTGCATCAATGTTCATTAGGTATATAGTTTATAGTTTTCTCTGTTTTGCTTCTCTTTGGTTTAGGTGTCAAGTAGAAATATACCAGGGGAAATTATCTCACGTAATCTGAGTGTACACACAGAAGACAAGTGAGGGATATGGGAAGAGGTGATACTTGGAACCTCACTCTCATCTGAACTGGTCAAAACAGGAAAGAATACTAAAACATACGCTCATAGTTGGGTACAAAAATACATTTTACTAAACAAAAAATAAAACAGGAGGGAAAGGGGAGGAGGGAGAGGAAGGAGCAAGAAGAAAGATCAAGAGAGGATCAATAGTAAGCAAAACAAACTAACTGGGAAGGTGAATCTCAAAACATTCCTCTTACCACCCACCCACTTCTCCACAGAGAAGTAAGTGGGAAAACAAAGGGAAGGAAAAGTATGAGAGAACAGGATAGGGGAAATTACGTAATTATCTATTATAACTGTGAATGTGAATGGGCTGAATTCACTCAAAACAGAAGAGAATAACAGAATGGGTTAGAAAGCAGAATACAATAATGTGCTGTTTACAAGAAATACCCTTGAAATAATTAGAAAGAATTAAAATAAGAAGCTGTGACCATACCAGGAATGCAGTGTTGTTTGATATTAGGAAAACCATAATCATAATTGACTACACTAATAACAACAAAAATAATATAATTATACCAAAAGACGCAAAAGAGAGTCTGGACAAGATTCAACACCCATTCCTCTAAAAAAAAAAAAACCCAAACCCAGAAATCAAAGGAATAAATAGATTGTTTCTTAATATGACAATTAATATCCATCTAAAACTAAGAGCCAGCATTATTTATAATGAGGATTAACTAGAAGCCTTTCCAATAAGATCAAGAATAAAGCAAAGATATTCATCATCACCACTATTATCTGAAATAGTATTGGACTGTTAGCTATAGAAATAAGACAAAAAGAAATTGAGATAATAATTATAGGCAAAGAAGAAACAGAATTATCACTTTTTGGAGATGATATGATAATTTAGAAAGATTCAACTTAAAAACTAATGAAACAATTAATAACTTCATCAAAGTTGCAAGACATAAGATAAATCCACACAATTCATCAGTACTTCTGTACATTAACAACAAAACAAAGCAGAAAAAAATAAGATAAATTCCATTTAAAATTTAAGTCTTTTGCCACATAATAGCCTGTAAACTTTTTTGCAGTTCAAAAAATTTTCATGGCAACTCCCCATCTTATTATAAAGTATGGTAAAGATTCTACTACTTGCACATCTAGTTTTTATAAAATTAACCACATCGAGGACATCCTGTAAGAACAATCATTTTAATAAGTTTCTGTTACATGACTGGCATTGTGATAAACATGAAAGATACAAAGAAAGGCAAAAAACAGTACTTGCTTTCAAGGAGCTCATAGAGAATTAAATATAGAGAATAGAGTCTAATAGAGAATTAAATCCAATTAATATTTATTAAGTGCCTACTATGTGCCAGGTTCTGTGTTAAACACTGCGGATACAAAAGAGAGAAAAACAGTTCCTGCCCTCAAGAAGCTTACAATCTAATGTCTAAAGACAACATGCTAATAAATATATACAAAGAAAACTATAAATACAAGATAAATAGGAAATAATTAGAAGAGGGGAAGAACTGGAATTAAAAATTTTAGTTGGGATATGAAGGAAGCCAGGGAGATCAGTAGTCCCGATGAAGGAGGGACAGCGCTCCAGGCATGGGAGACAGACATAGCCAAGAGATGGAGTGTACTGTTTCTGGAGAAGAAAACTTGCAAATGGCTATATACAAACAAGTAATATACAGGACAAATTGGAGATGATCTCAGAAAGAAGGCACTAACATTAAGGCAGACCAGGCAAGACTTCTTGCAGAAGGTGGGATTTTATCTGAGAATTAAAGAAAGTCAGGAAAGCAGGAGCTGGAGACAAGGAGGGAGAACACTTCAAGCATAGGGAAGGGCCAGTGAAAATGCACAGTAAGAAGATGGAGTGGCTTATCTGAGGGAGAGCAAAGAGACTAGTGTTACTAGAGTGTAAAATAAGGAGTACAAAGTGTAAGACTGGAAAGAGACAGGTGAGGAAGGGGACAAGTTATGAAGGACTATAAAAGCCAGAGGGAGGAAGGAAGCCCAGGATAGAGTCTGGGGGACCAGGTATCTCAAGACCTTATTCTTCTCAGAAGCACTAAAATTGGCATAGAAATACATTAAATTCAACAGGGAATCAGGAACTAGGAAACAGACTGGGGGGAGGCTAGAAAAAATATAAAAGAGGGAGAGGAGAGTTACGGAGGGAACTTTCATAACAAAACATGATTCAACTTTGGAGGAGTGGCAATTAGAAGGACAGAAAATGTTGGGGATTGGCATTGATAAAGAGAGAAGGGGCAGAGGAATAGAAACAGACCTCTTTAATTATAAATTTGATTCCTTCACTTCCTCTTTTTTTTATACAAAGAAGGGTGGACCCCCTTTCTTGTATAAAATATAATGGTGAATTATACACATTATATGAGTCATACACAAATATCATAAGTGCAAGAGGGGGATGGAATGCTTCACAAAATGGAGGAGGGTAACGGAAAGAAGCAAAATCCAACAATGTTATTCACAAGATGCACACTTGGAACATAAAGCTAAACATCCCGTATTTACTGCTATAGTTCAACACAACACTTGCAAGTTCCACACGCATGTTTGAAGAGTTGTGTTAATTTTTACTTGGACTTAATGAATTCCTGTGACATATAACAAAAACATGTTAAAATTTATGAGAACATGATGGATTTTTATTGGTTCATACCTTGGGCTGGACTGTAAAATTTTTGCAGTCTTTCAGTGAATCAGCATTCAATAAAGATCTAGTTTTATAATTACATTGGGATTTTGTGTCTAGAGCTTTAGAAACTGTGCATGTGATATTAAGTGGCTCCTTTTGTCCCTCCTTGATTGAATTATTAACCACATCTGGTTTAACAAGTTCTTCATCTCTCGTGAAAGATCTAGAAAGTAACGATTTTTGGAGACAATCATCTTGTTTTTCTGTTTTGCTACAAATGCTTATGTTACCAATTACATTATCAGATTCTGTTTTATCATTAACAATGTTTTCTTCTTCACTTGAATCATCAGGTATAATAATTCTGGATACTTTCTTTTTTTTAAATGCAAAATTATTCTGTGTCCTAATTCGCTTTAATTTTGCAGAACGTCGTGTATGGTATTTTTTCCTTCCATCAGCAAAGCTGTCTTCGTTTAATAAGTTGAAATCAACACATACTTCTTCACTTGAATCATTGATAGGATGTTCTTCCTCATCACTAACACAGAAGCTGTCTCCAAAATAAGTTTCATCTTGTTCAGGAATCTAACAGAATAAAATTTCAAAATAAATATAACAGAATTTGAAGTTTTTACTGTAGTCCAAGTATTTGTTTATCATCTAGTATATTTATTCCATGACTATTATTAGACAACTAATGAAACTACACAGCTAGGTGGTGCAGTGGATAGAGCACCAGCCCTGAAGTCAGGAGGACCTGAGTTCAAATCTGGCCTCAGACACATAACATTCACTAGCTGTGTGACTCTGGGCAAATCACTTAAACTCAATTGCCTCACTAAAAAAAATAAAAAGAAAATAAAAAGAAAGATTGGGACTGCTAGGTGGCGCAGTGGATAGAGCACTGGCCCTGGATTCAGGAGGACCTAAGTTCAAATGTGACCTCAGACACTTGACACTTACTAGCTGTGTGACCCTGGGCAAGTCACTTAACCCTGATTGCCTCAGTCTAAAAAAAAAAGTGTGCGTGTGTGTGTGTGTGTGTGTGTGTGTGTGTATATATATGTATAATACATATACGTGAAATTTGATCTAATGAAGGTATAAGGTAATTGATAAAAATTTTGAAGAGTATCACTTCATATACTGACTCTTAGTTAATACAAAACAGTTAGGACCTAGATTAATTTCACCTCATTTGCATATTTAAATGATACTGTTTGGGTTTGGGTTTTTTTTTTTAAAGAAGATAAATTTTTTATAAAATAACCTATAAATATCAACTATAATACAGGTACTTTTTGTCATTTTAAAGGTAAGAAAAAGTTAATACTTTCACAAAATGGGTAATAAATCACAGTATTTCACAATACACCATGGAATAACATGGTCCCAAAATTATTGATGACGAATACCAAAGTATTAGTCATTTTTAACTATGAAGTGGGCTTTGGGTAAGTACTAGTATACGAGAAGTTACCTATCACCAGCTTAACACCAAGTGTCAAGACAGTAAGCCTTATTCTCTTCATTATGAAAGAAAATTAAACTATAACTAATATCAATCCTACCCTGTATATTGGATTTGGAGTTAAGGAATGTGGTTTCTAATTCTGGCTTAGCTATTTACTACCTATACAATTCTATTTCACTATGACACCCTGGGCCTAAGCATTCTTAAATCTTTAAAATAAGGTGGTTGAAGTAAATGATCTCTAGCATCCCTTCCAGCTGTAATCCTATAATCCTAATGACATCAGTATAGATGTAATATGGCACTTTAAGAATGCTTATTTAAGTATCTGGAGAGAAAAAGTATTGGATGATTCTTACCAATAATTACTAATTATTCCCAAGAAATAGTTTGGTCCTTCAGTAAGCAAACATGTATTACAGTATGCTTAGTCCTATGAGAAATGCTACTTTTGACTTGGTGTATGGTCCTATGGAGAGGTTATATGTAAGCAAGAGATACTTTCATTACAAAAATTCAGACAAGATAGGAAAGTTTTAAAAACCATAAGTAAAAATTATAGGTAAAAACATGTCACATGCCAATAGTCAATAACAATTTGGGGTTAAAAGGGCCCATGAAAATTCATCTAGTTAATTCTCCATCCTTTAGATATCACAGCTAAAATTTACCAGATTTCATTTTAAATAGTTACCAAAGAGATTACAAAACCTTTTTCAGTAACCCATTCAACCACATTAACAGGAAATTCTTACATACTGAAAATTCATACCTGTGAGAAAATATTCATGGAATCATATTTCTTGTGCACCATTTTATACATATTGCCTACCAATGGACTGCGAACAGACTGCAGATAAACACTTTTCATCTCAGAATCTACATGAAGAGAATTTAATTTTAAAAATATACATTAAAATATTAACCACAAAGATTAGTTAACTATAAACTAATCTAAGTTTAAATAAATCGTGTTCCTCAGGAAATGTTAACCACCTATTTTGAAGGACCAGGAAGTACCTTTGAAAAGCAATCTTTTAAAAGCTTAAAGGCTAAAATATGAATAAACTGACATCGGGGATGATTAAATAAATATTTCTAAATGCTTACTATATGCAAGGCATTTTACAAAATCCATAAAGATATAATTAGGAGAATGATAAAAAGTAGAATGTGAGAAGGTAAGGGGAACAGATATAAAAGATGAGAAAAGTAATTTAATTTCAGCTTAGGGGTGAGAGAATGATCCGAAAAAATTTCAGGGAGGAGACAGCACATCAGGAAGACCTTCTAAGCAAAAGAAGCTTTTTAAAATGTACATGAAGAGGGGAATGCTTTCCAGGTATAAGAGAAAGTCTCTGAAAATTTATTAATTTATAAATAGAAAAGGATAGGAAGGATTTAAAAACCAGACAATAATTGAGCCTGTCTTTTACATGCCTGAAAAGAGTAAAGGCAAGATGGAACCAGACTACAGAGGGTCTAAGCTTTGTCAAGTGAAGAGGAGAGCAGATGAATTACTAGGCTGCGAATTCTGTTTCTGAGGAATCAGACTGTCCTCAGTTCCTGACTCCTTCCTAAATTGTACTTCGGGGAAGACCATCATGGGAGGATGTTACCTCGAGGTAGTGATTAAGCTCCAAGGAAGTGTCAGAGATTTCCTTGGGAGAGCAGGCCTAAGAGAACTAACCTTTAATTCTTTACTGAGCCCCAAGAGGTTATATAAAACCCTCTCTGCCACAGAGGGCTTTGGGTCCATGTAGCACCAGGACACTGTCCTGCATGTCAACTTGTACTTCTGGTAATGGGTAAGTTGTATAACCTACAGCAGGTCAAAGGAAGCCAGGGCTATTTGTGCCACATAATGTTTAGAAGGAACAGACCACACAAGGGCTGTAGATTTCCCTCTTATCTGAGTTATTCTTCGCCTCATAACTGTGTCTCTTCCATTGGGGCATTTTCAGCACCCAGTAATTTAAACCCAAGGACTAATCCACTTATCCATTACATTGACACACCAAGAGGAGCTTGTACTTTATCCTAATAGCAAAGGGGAGAAAATGAGGTATTTTGACCAGGGAAGTGATATGGTCATATCTATGCTTTGGGAAGATTATTTTTGTGACTGGATGAAGTAAGAGATGGAGAAGGCAAAAAAAAAAAAAAAAATGGAGGCAGGGAAGCCAGTAAAGGTCCTACTACAACTGATAATGCAGAGGTAATTAAGACTTTAATTAGAGTGGTGGCAATTGAGAAGAAGGCATGAATACAAGAGACAGATTAGACAAAACTGTTCATGAATTCAATGTACAATGCAGAATTTAACTCCTTTGAGTGATGTTAGTTTAATAAGAATTGAAAGAATTATTTAACACTACACTAAATTATAATCATCTTTCCATAATCATTGCCTATATAGCATAGCTTCTAATGCAAACCAAATAAAACTTAGAGCATGAGCAAAGGCAAAAGGATTTTAAAACAATGAGAATAACAATGACAGTGGCATTTACCATTTAGAACCTGTGAAAGTTGAGTCCCATCATTTAGGAAGCCAACTAGTAAGGAATCTTGTTCATTTTCTGATTTTTCACTTTCATCAGATGAAATACTTTCTGCATCTTGTGAAATCTCTGCTTCTTCATCTAAAAATTGCCTGCCTTCATGCTAAGAAAAATAAAGGAACAGCTTAAAATAAACATTCATTTTTTTTAACACCTGGAAGAAACCAGTACCAAAGCAATGACAACAGCCTACGTGAAAAAACAACAACAAAAACCCAGGAAATGACACTGAGAAATACATCTAGAATACCTAATTTAATCTGGCCTTCTTCAAGAATCACATTCAAATCATCTGAGTTGGTTCATGCCAGTAAACTGCATATTTCTAATTAATCCCTGAACATCTTGACATTTCAAATCATTTTATGGTGGAAGATAAAACAGTTCTATAAAGTGGGACAGCAAAGAATATTGGATAGAGGAAACTCCCAGCACCTAAAGAGAGTTCTTTCCTGATGTTTTGAACCATATCAGTAATTATGAAAAACAATATTAATGTGTATTGTTTTAATGCCATGCACACAAATTATAACTTAGGAAATTTTTTATTTCCATGAAAAATGTGTCTTACTTTGACAATTTCTCATGCAGTATTACAAAACCAAAGAGTATTTCAATCCCAAGAAACAGCCATTACCATTGAAACACAAATTTAGTATCTTTAGTTTTTTATAAAATCTGAAACTTTGGCTCAAATAACTTTTTAAATGTTTTGAAGTTTTTTTTTTCTTTCTAGATACAATTTGATGAGGTTGTTTCATCTTGTTTTACTAAGATAAATTTGAAAGCGGGAAAATCTTTCATGAAAATGGCAGTGTCAAAGTGAATTAATATGGATATAAATCCTTTTATAGGAAAATACTGGTCTTAACTAGAAATTTACTTCATTAAAAATAGGGAAAAGCCATTCCCAATTATACTTCTGTGTTTCAAGGATACATGCTCTTGTCTGAGTCATGCTGCCTCTGCTGATAAAGATTGTCATGAAGAGGCAGGAGAACAAGTGCCACAGACTACAGCTTATGGAGCTGAGAATGTTTTCTACGATGTAAAATAAAGTTTTATCACATTTTGAAATGTAAAAGCCCTTCTTAGCTCCCTGGTCATTTTATGGTGGGAGGCTAGATTTTGCCTCTGGGCTGCAGTCTGCAAACCCCTGCTCTATATGTTCCACATCTGTAAAATTGAGACAATAATATTTCCATTACCTATCTCACAATGTGCCTTGTAATCTTTAGAACACCTAACCTCTCTACAACTTTGTCTTCAAGTATTGCTGTAGTTAAAAAAAATATGCAAACACACTGGAGCCACCCTAGCACTGAACTCCTCTAAAATCAGTTAAGTTGATTCATGAATGACAGCATGGCAGGAAAAGAGCCTTGGAGAACCCAGGGTCACCTGAAACCATAATGAGGCATCAGAAGAAGCCTTTAGTAGAGAAGTTGCTAATTATTTTTTTAAAGTCAATAAACAAACAAACAAAATAGAATTACCAGGAAGGAATTAGAAAGCGCACCTTTAGGTTTCTATAACTTTTGGGGGCTCTCATACTTGTGGGACGATTCCTGTTATTGCTCTGGAAATCATCTTGAGTTAGAACTGGTTTATGAAAATCTGTGCTTTCATCACTAGATGATTCTGACTATAATAAACAGAAAAAAATGTATAAGATAAACTAAAAGATGATGACGGTTATTATTATAGCATAAAATACCACCCCTCAAAGAAAAAATGTAAACTGGACAGAAGTCCAGCAAGAATTCCTAGACGAGTTAAAGAAGGGGCTAAAAAGGATTTAAAAAACCAAGTGAGAGCTATAGAAGAAAGACATGAGAAGAGAATTAACAGCGTGGTTAAAAAAAGGTACAAAATCTTATAGAAAATAACTCCTTGAAAATTAGAATTGTCCAAATGAAAGCTAATGAATCCATAAGACCTCAATAAACAATAAAACAAAGTCAAAAACTGGAAAAAAGGGGGCAGCTAGGTGGCGCAGTGGATAGAGCACCGGCCCTGGATTTAGGAGGACCTGAGTTCAAATCTGGCCTCAGACATATAATACAACTAGCTGTGGGACCCTGGGCAAGTCACTTAGCCACATTGCCAGCCCCCCCAAAAAAAACTGGAAAAAAAATAGAAGAAAATGTAAAATATCTCATAGGAAAAAAAAATGACCTGAAAAATAGATTGAGATGAGGTAATTTGAGAATCACTGGATTTCTTGAAACTTGTGAGCAAAAAAAGAGCCTAAACATTGTATTTCAAGAAATTACAAAGGAAAATTGACCAGATATTTCAGAACAAGACGGCAAGGTAGAAATGGAAAAAAAAAAACAAAAAACACAGGTCACCTCCTGAAAAAAACATTTATGCACCAAATGGTATCGCATCCAAATTCTTAGAGGAGAAGTTCAGGGAGTTACAGGAAGAAATAGACAGCAAAACTATACTAGTGGGGGACCTCAACCTCCCCCTCTCTGAACTAGATAAATCTAACCACAAAATAAACAAGAAGTTAAGGAGGTGAACAGAATATTAGAAAAGTTAGGTATGGTAGACCTCTGCAGAAAACTGAATGTGGTTAGAAAGGAATATACTTTTTTCTTGGCAGTACATGGCACCTACACAAAAACTGACCATGTACTAGGGCATAAAAACCTTACAATCCAATGCAGAAAGGCAGAAATATTAAATGCATCCTTTTCAGATCATGATGCTATAAAAATTATATGTAATAAAGGGCCATGGAAAGATAGACTAGAAAATAATTGGAAACTAAATAATCTAATCCTAAAAAATGAATGGGTCAAACAACAAATCATAGAAACAATCAATAAACTCATTCAAGAGAATGACAATAATGAGACAACATACCAAAACTTATGGGATGCAGAGAAAGCAGTTCTTAGGGGAAATTTTATATCTCTAAATGCTTACTTGAATAAAATAGACAAAGAAGAGATAAACAAATTGGGCACACAACTAAAAACACTAGAAAAAGAACAAATTAAAAATCCTCAATTAAACACCAAATTAGAAATACTGAAAACCAAAGCAGAAATTAATAAAATTGATATTAAGAAAACTATTGAACTAATAAATAAAACTAAAAGCTGGTTTTATGAAAAAAAAAAAACAATAAAATAGATAAACCTTTGGTCAATTTACTTAAAAAAAGGAAGAAGAAAACCAAATTACCAGTATTACGTGCTACCTAAGTGCCAAGCATCATGATAATGTGATAAAGAAAGCAAAACTATCTATCTCATATCTGCTTTAATCACAGGAACAAAAACAAATGTCAACAGTCCATTTTGCTGACCGCTTAGAATTTGTTTTCAGTCATTCAACTGTGTTCGACTCTTCATGTCCCCATATGGGGTTTTCTTGGCAAAGCTACTGGAGTGGTTTGCCATTTCATTTTCCAATGGACTAAGGCAGAGGTTAAGTGATTTGCCAAAGGTCACAAAGCCAGTGAATGTCTGAGGCTGGATTTGAACTCAGGTCTTCCTAACTATAGGCCCAGTGCTCTATCCTCTGAGCTACCTAGTAGTCTAGAATACAACCATCAAAAAAAAAACCAAAACAGTAGAACTTCAGGATTTGTAACATTTGTAATTGGTGATAAAAACCAGACTAAGGAATTAGTCTAAGAGTTAGATGGAGTTCTGTGAACAAGCATTTCAATGAGGTTCTTTCAGTCTGACAATTTTGCATGACTTAGGTGTATGTTCAGCATGAAAAAGAAAAGGACCAAGCATTTATTAAGTGCCTACTATGGACGTACCAGGCTCTGAGGTAGTCACTTTAGTGCTTACAATCTAATTAGTCAGTGGGAAGTCACATTTTATTGTGTATTTTTAACATAGGTCTAGTCTAAACCGAGGTATACAATGTCACATGAATTTAACTACATGACCAGCCTTTTCAAGGACAATAAAAGTCAAATAAATGCAAATAAAACTACTAACAAGGTCCAAAAGTCCTTGAAGAAAATAAAAATTTCAAGAATTATATACATATTTTGCTGAGCAAAATGGTTTTCAAGGGGGTAAATATTTGAAAGAATAAGAGGAGACAAAAGGAAAAAGGCATTTGTTCTACTCTCAACTTTTCAGTTATGCATGTAATTTTAAATAAGACAAATGAGACAAACCCAGAAAGAAATTAAAAGTAATTGGTAGTTACTATAACTAGATTTGGTCAATTTCATTGAATAGCAACTTACTGTACTTAATAGGTGTTTACATTTCTTAACAGCACAAAGAGGAGATTCAACATCACTGCTCTTCCCAACCTATCCAAACAAATTAAAAGATAACATTCTTTAGAAAGAAATGGACCTTTCCAATTGATTACACTGTTGCTTTTGTTGAATAACTCACTTTTGGGGATTTCAGATGATCCTTTTTCACCTTTTTACTCTCTCTTTGGAAAACCACATCGTCTTCACTTCCAATGCTATTTCCTGCAGAAAAAAAAATATTAAAATGGTTAACAATCACTGGGAAAATATATACTTCTTTATTTATGAAATAAGCACATAGCAGCACACAATTTAGGGCTGGAAAAAGCCCTTAAAGACTACCTAATTAAAACCCTCTCACTGTAGAGATAAAGGTGTGCTAAGATATTAGACCAAGGTCACAGAGAAAAGGAGGCAGAGCTGGAATTTAAACCCAGATCTAGTGTTCTTCCCATACATTGTACCAGGGGGCAAGGGGAGATAGTGGGGGAGACTGGGTCTTCTGATTGCCCAGGCTAGAAGTGCTAGAATCCAGACTATAAAAGGCCATTTTTATAGGCACAATATCACTGCTTATCTTTACAGAAGCTTTGACTTACTCCTGGATCCATTAGCTCTTCCTCAATCAATATGAAGGTCTCTCAATACCAGGAGCTCAATATATTGGCACCTCACTTTGTATTCACTCACTAGGCACAGGCCCTACTACAGCTTATAACTCCCTCTCAAGTGATTCCCTACCCCTCTCGGCCTCCTCAGTAGCAGGGTCTATAGGTGTGCAGTAGTATGCCCAGGTACCACACACTGCATTTATTTTTTTTTTAAGGCAATTGGGGTTAAGTGACTTGCCCAGGGTCACACAGCTAGTAAGTGTCAAGTGTTTGGTCTGAGGCCGAATTTGAACTCAGGTCCTCCTGACTTCAGGGCTGGTGCTCTACCCACTGTGCCACCTAGGTGCCCCAACGCACTGCATTCTTAAAAGGAAGAAATAGAAAAGTAGAGTTTAGAGGCACAGAATGAGAAGTGACTTCTACAGCTGTGAGAAAGAATTCCTAACTAAAAAAGAAATAGGGATAGGGAATGAATGAAAATCATTTTTGACTACCTAAAAAGATCCTTTCAACTACATAAAATTTAAAAATCTCTGCATGAAAAACATCAATATAGCTAGGATAAAGCAAACTGTCAATTGGGAAAAATATCTTTGCATCAAATATTTGACAAAACATAAAAGATATGTAATGACATATAAGACATATATGTATATACACATACAAGATATATAAGGAAATATATAATATATAAGGAAACAATAGACAAGAAGTCAAAGCATATGAATGATTTTCAAAAAAACATTTGTAAACTATGAACAACCATATGAAAAACTGCTTCAAAGCATTAGAGAAATGAAAATTTTAAAAACTCTGAGGTTTTGCCTCACATGCAACAAAATGACAAAAAATGGCAAAATGGCATAAAAAACTGAAGGGACTGCAGGAACACAAGCAAATTAACATTCTAGTAGTAGAGGCATGAAGTGATTTTGGAAAGTTTGGAAAATTTTGGGGAAAAAAATTGTAATTATATATGAACAATCACTAAGCTGTTCATACTATTTGACTCTTCACTGCTGAGAATATACCCAAAGGAGGTTAAAAAAGGGGGGTGGGGGTGGGAAGAAATGCTCGAAAAATGACAGAAGTCATAGCAGCACTATTTATGGTAGAGCAAGACTAGAAAAAAGGTGGGTACCTATTGATTGATAAATGGCTAACCACTACATTAAGCGAGTTAGCTGTGTTTCTGGTAAAGGAGGAAACAAGATAGGTTGTCGCTTAGCCAAGGTTCTCCAAGAAACTCCATGGGAAAAAGAAAAAGTGAAAGATGAAGCAGTGATCAATAACACAAAAGGGAAAAACAAGAGGCTCCTCCATTCAGTCCAGAACAACATAAAAAGATGCCACAAGCACTTTGGCCAGGGGCAAAATAAAGAAACTTGCAGCAATGTGATCTCTAGTAAATGAGGCTTGAAGCCAATGGGATTTCAACCATGGCCAGCTAGGGCCCTAAGAGGAAAACAAATAAAGACCCTAGTAGGTCAGTGAACAAGGAGAGATGGAAAAGAGATGGACAGTGTGTGCATGCCTCGTGGCCCTCCAGGAAGCCCCAAACCAGAAAGAAATAAAGACAGCTCCTATTAAGTGTCTGCCCAGGGAAAGTAGAACAGTGAAACAACTAGGCAGTCCACATCAGGGGTGCTCCAAGAAGCATGAAACACACATGATCTCCAATACTCAATGGGCACACAAAAGAATCAAGGAAACAGAAGTACCCTGGGGTACTGCAGTGACCCCAAAGCTTCTAATACCTAGCTAGGGCCTGTGACAATCACAGGAGACAAAAATCAATTCTCTCTCAGTGACTACACAAGAAGAAGGAGAAAAGACTAAGGAAAGTCAACACCTGTACTGGGACACCATAAGATGGAAACAGAAGCCAGGAACTGAGGCAGAGGATGGGACCAGCTGCCTGTCCCAGGCAAGAATCATGGAATAGAGAAGAAGGGGACTAGGTCTCAACCACCCCATCTGACAGTGAAGGAAGGAATGTAATCTTGATGTGGGACAATGTTCCAAACTAGAAACTGAGGCTGGTGACATGAGTAAATGGAAGGAAATTCCTAATACAATGAAAAAATACTATGGGTTAAGAGAAGCCCACTTCCAAACTCCAAAAGTAAAAACAAAATCTTAGAAAACGTAGAAATAAGGAACTTGAAGAGTGGATAGAAAAAAAAATGAAACAAAATTTATAGAAGTACATTAGAGATTTTGAGGGGAAAATGGAAAAAAAAATTACTTATGTAGTAAACTCCCTAAAATAAAGAATGAAGCCAACAAATCTCAATAATTCGCTGAGACAACAATATTAGAACAAAGTGAAGATTGTTACAGCCACCATCCAAGGCTGGGATTCAATTGAGGCCAGCCACCCTAGGCCACACACTGCTCCCCTGACTTCAACTCCAACCATGGCTTGATGCAAGATAAGCATATTGAGGGGCAGCTAGGTGGCGCAGTGGATAGTGCTCTGGCTTTGGAGTCAAGAGGACCTGAGTTCAAATCTGGCCTCAGACACTTGACACTTACTAGCTGTCTGACCTTGGGCAAGTCATTTAACCCCAACTGCCTCACCAATCAAAGCAAAAAACAAAAAAAAAGTGGAGAAAAAAAAGATAAGCATATTGGGCACTGGTTAGGGTCATCTTAGGCAGTAGACCAGCAGAGTGGCAACAGCATTTTCACCTATTTCATGGGGTTCAAGGACTCGAAGGACCACAGATGGTGCCTGGACTATATGCAGTCTAAGTCAGTTATCCATAAGTCCCTAAAGTACTCTGCTAAGTTAGGGAGAAGAAAAAAGGTTACAACTAAACATAACTTACTCTTCAAAACTGAATATTATCCTGAAGGGGAGAAAAAAGAGATCTTAAATAATGACGATTACCTTCAAGCATTCCTCATGAAAAGACCAGAGCTAGTTAAAATTTATGAAACACAAACACAGAAGACAAGAGAAACCTAGAAAGATAAATAAAGAAGTAAACTAGGCCTGTGTGTGGTTTTGTTTTATTTTGTTGGTTTTTTTTTTAATGGATTTTTTTTTTGGGGGGTGAGGCAATCAGGGTTAAGTGACTTGCCCAGGATCACACAGGTAGTTAAGTGTTAAGTGTCTGAGGCTGGATTTGAACTCAGGTCCTCCTGACTCCAAAGCCAGAGCTCTATCCACCGTGCCACCTAGCTGCTCCCTATTTTGTTGGTTTTAAGAAGCGAAAGGGAGAGAAAGAGGAATACACTAGGGGAAAAATGAGGATGAGAAGGAATTTAAAATGTCTCCTAAGTGGTGACAAATATAGAAGAGAGGATAAGCAGTGCAAGAATCTCATGAAATTCACTTTCATCCAAACCAGAAAAAGGGAGGTTAAAACTCTCTCTTTCTCTCTCTGTCTCTCTCACTCTCTCTCTCTCTCTGTCTCTTTCACACACACATACACACACACACACACACACACATACGTATGCAGACAGACACAGAGAATTTTGTGGAAACCTGTATTAAATTCAAGAAGGAAAAGAGGCCAGAACAGGAAGACAGAAGAGGAAGGTTTAAGAGGAAAAGAAGACTTGAGGAGGGAATATTCACAAGGAGAGCAAGTTTCAACTATGGAGGGCAGATCATAAAGAGGAGAACAGAAGGACAGAAATAAAGTACCAGAACCAGTGACTGAAGTCTAGACTGGCTGAAGACAGAAAGGAAGAGGAGTGAGATCAGACCACTTCAATTATAAATTACTAGTGTCAATCCCAATTCTTTTCTTTCCTGTTCTTTTAGATGAAGGAAGAGATAAAGAAAGAGTGAGTTGCCCTTATTATACTTGTTCTGTGTCTTCTATATACATATGCATAAACTATGTTCCTTCATCTTATGTGTTTCCCTACATCTGTTCCCTTGTTCCATGGGTGGTGTGTTAACCTCCAGAAAAGTATACCTATAAAGATGGAAGAAATCTTCCTTGTTACTGATTCTACTATGCCATTTAATTATCTTACTTAAAAAAAAAAAAAAGCTTATTAGGGCTATACTGAAACCTATGAAAGAAAAATATTGCTAGAACTTACATACAGCTTACTTCTAATTGAAATAACATATTAACAACTTACGCCTTAGATACTAACTGGAAATATAGGGGGTTTTTTATTACTGTTACAGAAAAAGCTTTCATATGATTTTACCTACACAAGTTCCCTTTTTTTCTTCTCCACAGAGAATAGCATACACACACACACACACACACACACACACACACTCACTCTATGAATACTATAAGAAAATAGTCTACAAATGAGGTTACAAATTCTACCGTTAAATTTTTATTACCAAACATTAGTCAATTTATTTTTTTGTTTTTCTATTTCAAACTATAGATTAATACAATACTCCTACGATCTATCCCCTTATATATTTAAATGTACACATTTACAAACCTTCCACAGCAGCTCAGTTAAACTAGTCTGTTCACTGTTCCTCAACTCACTTCTAATTTTCATAATCTTTCCCCTCTGTTACTGTGTTAACCCTCTGCTTAACTGACTGTCTATAGAACCCTGTGTCCTTTTAAGGGCACACTTGACATTTCTAAACTCATTGTTTTGACCATTCATTCTACCTTTATAATTTACTGCCTTGCGCCAATAATTCATATTTTCATGTGGATAACCTAATTTAGTTATTTAGATGAACTTCTCAAGAACAGGGATCCATATTTCTTTGCACTTCCATCAATATACAGAATAATGTTTTCCTTGCACATATTAGGCACAAAATAAATTATCTATTGATTGATATGGTTCTAGAAAATATTTTTGTTTCAAAGAACCAAGTATGATGAAGTACCAAATTTATAATTAAATTCAATTTCAATAAATTCTTATTAAGACTCTACAATGTGAAAGGCACTATACTAAGTACTAGGAACAGAAATGTAAAAGTAAAATGGCTCCTTACCACAAGGAACTGACAGTCTACTGGTAGGCTATAAAATCTGCAAAGATAAGTAAATATAAGGTACTTAAGGACAAAACATTAGCAACCAATAGCAATAGAGGATGTAGAATGGAAGTAGAGTTTTGAAGTATAATAAAGATTCTGAAAGGTGGCAATAAGAGGAGTACATTTCAGAAATTAGAAATGGCTTGCATAAATGAGTAAAGGTGGAAGATGGAATACTCAGTTCAGGAAATAGTTCCGTTTGGCTAAAACACAAAGAAGAAAAATGTGAAGTATGGCTGGAAAAGTAAGCTGAAACCTGAGTGTAGTAGGCCACATGTGCCAGACTGAAGAGCATGTTTTCAATCACACAAGCAGCAGAGAGACAATCAAGTTAAGTGAGCAAGGGAATGATGTACTAAGACTATTTTGACAGTTATGGAAGATGGAATGGAGAAGACAAAGACTAGAGTTGGAGACACCAATTTGGAGACGACAATAGTCCAAAGCAGGAAGTAACAAGGGACAGCATATGTAACTTAGGCATACAAATTTCTAAAAGTTATAACGTTTTCCTGAATTTATTATTTCTAATGAAGTATTCATTCCTTAAAGGTATAATTTTATAATCTTACCTTCATCAGAATAATGGCAAGATTCAAACAAGTTAATCTGTTCATTGCTTTCAGTCTTTTCTGTTGTAATTCCTACTTTTTCAAAAGTGGAATTCAAGATTTTTTTAATGCTTCTTAGATTTACTTTTTTCTTGGTAGCTGATAACTCAAGTATGTCTTGTGTCATTGTAGAGAATGAATTCATTGGATTTGGTTTATAGAGTGGAGTGCTCATAACATTTTCTCCTACTGGTGAAGAAACTGAGGAAGCAGAAAAATTACCAGGAGACTCAAATTCTTTTTCTTTTGTCATGCTCATCGGAGAAAGCATGCAATCGGGGTACTGATTTTGTAGCATCGATGTTGTAGAAATGCTTCTTCTAATAATATTTTTATCGTATGTCCTTGGGGTACATTCTTTCCTTGGGCCATAATTTGTAGCTTCCTGCATGGTATTGGTATGGCTGCCAGAGAAACCCACTTTTAAATGGCCATTTTTGTTTACATCTTTTGCCAGCTCTGATTGTTCCTCATCAGAATCTGGACTACAAAATCCCAAATCAAAATTAACAGAGAATAACTCTTTTGAACAGTCAAAAATACTATCATCACTCTGGGTTTTTTCCTTCCCTACTCCTTCCAAATTTTCAAGAGAAGTTCCAATCTTGGTACTGTGATTTAATGGAATTTTGGTTTCTGAATCAGAATCTAGCAAACACTCATCAGAAATGTGAAATGGAGATACTTGTACCACTTCGCTTGTAAGAGCATCATCTGATAAAGATAAACATCTAGAGTTATTTTTCAAATAAAGAGGATTCATCTGATTAAATTCAGAATCAGTATCTTCAGAAAACTGTCTTTCCTGATCTTGCTCAATACTTACTTTTTTCATGAGTGTCTTACAAACCCCATTGTGTTTTTTTTTAACTAAACATTTTTCAGGAGATGCATTTACTTGAGCATGATCAACAGTTGTTACTTTGTCATTTTTTACATGTATGTGTATTTCATTCTCATGTTCATCACAATTTGGTCCATCAAGCATCATATCAGAATAACTGGATATATCATCTTGTAAATTTTTAAATGATGATGTCCTTAGGATTTCATCTTTCAAACTATAAAGTGCATCAAGAGGAGGAGGAGACTGAGATAAAAATCTTTCTACATTGTTAAGTGTTTCTTTGGTCAGTAAAAGACAGTTGTCACACAACTGAGTAGCTGTTTTAAGTAAATAAGGATCTTCTTCAGAAAGATAAAACATGCTAGTTGAAATAATTTTTTTTTCATCAGTAAAATCATCATAACCAAATTCTATATGGTTTCCACCAAATAAACTTTCAGATTTATCTACTGATGAGCACTCTACTAACAGTTCACATAGCTGATCATGGGCAGTGCTTGTGTTTGCAACACTGTCTACATCTAATGCCACTTTATCAACTGGTGATGCTTCCTGATAATTACAACTAACAGTAGAACGTACTTCAGTTATTAAGGAATTGGCAATGTTGTCACTATTGCTTGCCTTACACTGATCTTTTGTCATTTCCTTAAGGACTTTGGTTTTTAAATAAAAGTTTTTATCAGATTTAAATTCTTGGGCACATTCTTCATCAAAATCTATTAATAAAGATGAACAATTTTGTTTCACATTCCTTTTAATAGCAGGTTTTTGTAGAGTAGTAGTGTTGACAGAGGCAGAAGAAGAATGTTTATTCCTGAGAATGCCTGATGTTGAACTAGTATCTCCTATTTGTAAGTGGGGTTTAAGTTCCAATTCATAGTTGCATTCATCCTGTTAAGAAAAGACAGAAAGTCATAAGAAGTCATTTTGTAACAACTTTTAAAGAATGGGGAACAATTTTCATTGTTTTTAAACGTATACAAGTGATTGTTTTTTTTCTAAATTGCCAAAACCAAAGATGGCAGAGTGAGGCAGGACCTCACCTGAGCTCTCCAAAATTCCCCTTCAAACAACTCTGGAATAACACCTTGAAACAAATTTTGGAGTGGTGAAGCAATTTCTCAGCCAAGGATAGCTTAGAAGGTCAGCAGGAAAGGTCTATCTCAGCAGGGTGGGAGGAAGCATAGTCTGGTACAGGCAGTGCCCAACCAAGCCAGCAGCAGGCCACACCCTAGTGGGCCTGCAGCAAGACGTAGAGCCCCAAAGAAAGACAGCAGTGAGGTCTCATGCCCAGCACAAACCAGCAGTAAGCCCCCAACCCTGGTGTGAGGTAGCAGCAAGGCTCTACACCCAGTGCAGGCCAGCAGCAAGACCCATCAAGTCCCAGCATAAGAAACTTGGGGCGCTACCCTCTGCACTACAAGAGCAGAGCCCAACTTTAACATAAAGTTAGAAGGCACAAAAGAGGCTGGAAAAAGTAAGCAAAAAACAAACAAAAAAAAAGACATGACATAGAAAGATACTATGGGGACAGGGAGAATGAAGGCACAAACTTAGAAGAGGAAAACAATGTCAAAACAGCTACATGCTAAGCCTCAAAGAAAAATGTGAATTGGTGTCAGGCCCAAAAAAGAATTGAAAGGGCTCAAAAAGGATTTTTAAAAATCAAGTAAGATGGGGCAGCTAGGTGGTGCAGTGGATAGAGCACCGACCTTGGATTCAGGAGGACCTGAGCTCAAATCTGGCCTCAGACACATAACACTTACTAGCTGTGTGACCCTGGGCAAGTCACTTAACCCCATTGCCTAGCCCCCCCCCAAAAAAATCAAGTAAAAGAAGAAAAGCTATGAAAGAAATGAGAGTACGGCAATAGAATCATGAAAAAAAAAAGCCAATGAATTGATAAAGAAAGCACAAAAAATAGGAAAAGATGTACAAAAATTCACTGAAGAAAACAACTCCTTAAAAAGTAGAATCGGTCAAATGGAAAAGGAGGTACAAAAGTTCAATGAAGAAAATAATTCTTTAAAAATTAGAACTAGGCAAGGGGGAAGCTAATGATTCTATAAGACATCATGAATCTGTCAAACAAAATCAGAAGAATGAAAAAATAGAAGAAAATATAAAATACCCTCATTGGAAAAACAACTGACCTGGAAAACAAATCCAGGAGAGATAATTTAAGAATTACTGGATTACCTGAAAACCATGATCAAAAAGAGCCTAGACATCATATGTCACAAAATTATTAAAGAAAATTACCTGATATCCTAGCATCTGTGGGTAAAATAGAAGTCAAAACAATCCACTGATTAACTCCTGAAAGAGATCCCAAAACGAAAACTCCCAGGAATATTATGGCCAAATTCATGAGCTCCCTGGCCAAGGAGAAAATAATGCAAACAGCCAGAAAAAAAAAAACAATTCAAATATCATGGAGCCACAGTCAGGCTTGCACAGGATTTAGCAGCTCCTACATTAAAAGATCAGAGGGCTCAGAATGATATTCCAGAAGGCAAAGGACCTAGGATTACAATAAAGAATCACCTACCCAGCAAAACTGAGTAAAATCCTTCAGGGAGAAAAATGGGCATTTAACAAAATAAAGGCATTTCAAGCATTATGAACGAAAAGACCAGAGCTGAACAGAAAATCTGATCTTCAAATACAAGATTGAAGTGAAGCATAAAAAGGTAGACATGAAAGAAAAAACATAAGGAATTCAATAAAGTAAAACTTTATATTCCAACATATATGGAATGAATGATATAAAACAGCATTTTGACTGGATGATATAAAAAAAAAATTAAGGGGTGAGAAAGAGAATTGCACTGAGAGAAGAGGGTAGGGATAAACAGAATGGGGTAAACAAACTCACAGAAAAGAGGAATGCTATTTACATATAACTATTACAGTAGAGGGGAACATGGGGGTGGTGGGAAAGGCTTGAACCTTACTTTCATCAGAATTGTCTCAAAGAGGGAATAAGATACACACAAAGTTAAGTATAGAAATCTGTGTTACCATATAAGGAAGTAGGAAGTGATGGGGATAAAAGAAGGAAGGGAGGGAGGGACACTGCTACAAGGGAGAGAGGACTGGAGGAGGCAATGGACAAAAGTAAAAACACCTGTAACAAAGGACAGGGTGAAAGGTGAGACAGAGAGAGAAGGAAAAATAGGATGGAGGGAAATACACAGTTAGCTACTATAATTGTAAATGTGAATGGGATGAACTTCCATAAAACGGAAGCTGATTACAGAGTGGATTAAAAACCAGAATCTTCCAATATGCTGTTTACAAGAAACACATCTGAAGCAGAGACACACACAAAGTAAAGGTGAGGGACTCAAGCACAATCTACTTATGCTTCAGCTGGAGTAAAGAAAGCAGGGGCAGCAATCATGATCTCAGACAAAGCAAAGTAGATCTAATTAAAAGAGAGAAGGAAGGAAATTATATCTTGACAAAAGGCACCACAGACAATGAAGTAATTATCAATACAAAACATATGCGCCAAATGGTATAATTTCCAAATTTTTAAGGCAGAAGTTAAATGACTTACAGGAGGAAATAGCCAGTAAAACTATACTTGTCAGAAACCTCAACTTTCTCCTCTCAGAACTAGATAAATCTAACCAAAAAATAAATAAGAAAGAAGCTAAGGAGGTGAACAGAATTTTAGAAAAGTTGGAAAAAAAAAAGAAAAAAAAAAGAAAAGTTGGATATGATAGATCTCTAGAGAAAACTGAATGGGAACAGAAAGCAATATGCCTTTTTTTCAGTGGTACATGGCACCTGTACAAAAACTGACCATGTATTAGGGCATAAAAGCCTTACAACCAAATGCAGAAGAGATATTAAATGCATCCTTTATAGATCATAATGCAATAAAAATTACATTCAATGTGGAATGACAGATTAAAAATTAATTAGAAACTAAATAATCTAATCTTAAAGAGTAAGTGGGTCAAATAACGAATCATAGAAAATAATCAATAATTTCATTAAAGAGTATGACAATAATAAGACAACACACCAAGAATACCAGTACTTAGGGCAAAATTTGTATCTCTAAACACATATCAATAAAATACAGAAAGAGTAGATCAATGAATTGGGTATGCAACTGAAAAATACTTAAAAAAAAAATTTAAATTCCCAATTGATAACCAAACTAGAAATCTTGAAAATCAAAGGAGAAATTAATAAAATTTAAAGTAAGAAAACCATTGAACTAGTAAATAAAACATTGTTTTATGAAAAAAAAACAGATAAACCTTTGGTTAATTTGATTTTAAAAAGCAAAGAGGAAAACCAAATTACAGTTATCCCTTCCACACTGCAAAGGTTAGGGGCTCAGTGCCCCCACAATCTGAGAAATCTGCATAAAATTTTTTGACCCTCCTTTCATACCAGAGAGCAAGCCTGAATTTTTTTCTTTTTCTTTCATGGGATGTTTATAGTACTTTACTTTAAAATTTGGGTTGACATTATACATACTTTATGCATTTCTGAGTTTCTAAACTTTTTCTATTTTTTCTGCTGATCTCTGCATGTCAGCTTCAGCTTCCACAAAATTCCAATTTAATTTCTTATACTGACCCACAATATACCAAAATCGTGATGGGAAAAGTCATGATGTGGAAGAGATAACCACATTAGCATCAAAAATGAAAAGGGTGAATTCACCACCAATGAAAAGGAAATTAAAGCAATTATCAGGAGATATTTTGCCCAGTTATATGCCAACAAATCTGACAATCTAAGCAAAATGGATGAATATTTACAAAAATATAAATTGCCCGGATTAACAAAAGATGAAATAGAATACTTAAATAACCTCATCTTAGAAAAACAAATTGAACAAGCCATCAATGAACTCCCTAACAAAAAATCTCCAGGGCCAGATGGATTCACGAGTGAATTCCACCAAACATTTAAAGAACAATTAATCCCAATACTGTTTAAACTATTTGGAAAAATAGGCAAAGAAAGAGTCCTACCAAATTCCTTTTACAATACAAATATGGTGCTGATACCTAAACAAGGAAAAGTAAAAACAGAGAAGGAAACTATACATCAATTTCCCTAATGAATACTCATGCAAAAATTCTAAATAAAACACTAGCAAAATACAATACAAAATTGTATATGCAGCAGTACATCACAAAGATCAAACACTATGACCTGATGGATTTATACCAAGAATGCAGGGCTGGCTCAATATTATGAAAACTATCAGCATAATTGACCAAATCAATAACTCAACTAACAGAAATCATATGATTATCTCAACAGATACAGAAAAGGCTTTTGTCAAAATACAACACCCATTCCTACTAAAAACACTAGAAAGCACAGGAATAAATGGAGCTTTCCTTAAAATAATATATAATATCTATCTAAAACCATCAGCAAACATTATCTGCAATAAGGATAAGCTAGGAGCCTTTCCAATAAGATCATGGGTGAAGCAAAGATGCCCATTATGACCATTATTATTTAGTATTGTACTGGAAATGTTAGCTATAGCAATAGAAGAAAAAGAAATGGAATTACAATAGGCAATGAGGAAATAAAACTATCACTCTTTGCAGATGATATAATGGTATGGTATAATTAGAATCCTAGAGAATCAATTAAAAAAACTACTTGAAATAATTAAAAACTTCAGCAAAGTTACAGGATATTAAAAAAAATCAGCATTTCCATATATTGCCAACAAAGCCCTGAAACAAGAGAAATTCTGTTTAAAATAAGTAGGCAAAGGGTAGCTAGGTGGCGCAATGGATAGAGCACTAGCCCTGGAGTCAGGAGGACCTGAGTTCAAATCTGACCCCAAGACACACGAAACTCACTAACTGTATGATCCTGGACAAGTCACTTAA